CTGTATTTTAACAAATCGCGGTAGGGTTGTGAAAGACGAACTTTAAATGTCAACAGTGCTTTTTGCTGAAAAAGTTCTGTTTTTATTTTAACGATATTTGCATCGCTGTTTTGAATGGAGACAAGATCGATAAGGTCATTTAATTTCTTGTCCAGGCGCAAATAATAATCGGTATAATTTTCATTAAAATTTTGAATGCATGTTGTTAGTTCACGTTCTAATGTAGATTCGGATCGACGCTCACCAAATTTTTTTAAAAGGTCGGTACGAATATTTTGAAAGTTTGAAAAGAATTTGGAATAAAATTGTCGAGTTTATTGGCTGTTATAAATGATTTTGGTGGACCGCGAATTTTGCTTAAAACATAGAGGTTAAATAAATGCAATTGAATGTTTGAGCACATTGCAAAAGTGCCTTGAAAAAGATCAATAATTTTGTCCACAGAAATTATGAAATCGCTGAGAGATGCTTCACCATCGCCATAAATAGGTATTACTTTACAAAATTGTTCAAGTTGCTTATCAGTTATTTTAGGAATTACTGGATCTGTCATATTTACTTAGTTGATTTTAATTTGGGGATTAGTTATAGTAGTATTTTCTAATAATATAATAAGTTGTTCTATTTCTGGATCACTTAATTCCGAAACCGAAATTTTGTTTAGATTTGTTGGCATAAAAATTAATAAAGGCAAAAAAAATACTTAAAATAAATGAAAATAAATTAGGAAATAATAAAAGGGATGCAAAAGGAACTACTGAACGACTTACTTGATTAATTTTAATGCGTTGTTCATCTCCAATTGGCTCGGGGGACGAAAGGACGAAATTCAGGTTGAAGACGGGTGACTTTCTTCTTTGATGTTGATGAGTCCGGTTTCACCATAAATTGTAGAAACAAACCAAAAATTCTAATGATTTTTGTTGATGAGAATCCTGTTTCACAGCGCCAGTTTTGAATTCTGAATTTGTTAAATTAAAACAGTTGAACTTTTTAATTAATTTATTTTTAACAATGTATTCACAACAACAATTAAAAGAGAAGTGCCGGTATAATGTGTAGTTCCGCGCGAGGTAAGCTTGGTTGCCTAGTCAGCAGACGTAACTAGCGTGTCTTTTTGTACTTTTTTTTTACTCATAACCGAAACATTTTTTAAAAACATAATTTTATTCTGTTTTAATAAGTGGATAAAATTTTATCAACATGACTTTAAAATTTTTTTTAGTTGGACAAATTGCTAAAATATTGCGATTCGTCTAAAACAACGTAAGTATTTTTAATACGAAATATCTCAGATGAAACACACTTTAAGGTAGTTGTCGTGGTACAATATTGTCAAAATTTTTTAGATTATACGCACCGTAAAAGTATACGAGCTTGTAGCTAAGTGATTCATAATTTTTTCGCAAGACTGTACCCTGGAGACGTTAACTTTACGTAATACTTTCAAATATTTTCATAAGTTTTAATCCGGCAACGTCGCTTATGCTCAACATTGGAGACTAAATCAGTGTGTTTAAATCACATATCATATATCTCTAAATATGTGGTTTAAATTTACTGCGGAAATAATATCTATACTCGCGTACAGCGTTGCCAAGTTGTTTTTATCTGACACTAGTGATGTATACTTTTTACAAATTGTTGAACTTTAAACGGTTATTTATAAACAATTGGACGGTCAAAAATTTTTAATTATTTTTTTAAACTCAGCAAAAATACATTAAAAGACTGTTAGTTTTTTGAAAGCTTCTGACAGTTAGTTTTTTTTATAACTAAGAAACTGGTACAGAACTACAGAAAGCATATACAATCCATGTTAATTATCCAATTTTTAATTGAATTTATCTCGGTTTATAGACGGTCAATCGACTTCAAATTTTAAGGATAATTGTATTGACATGTCCTTAATAAGTATACAAAAATTTAAAATTTTCTGATGGTATGCTTACAGCACGACAACTACCTTAAAAATCCTAAAATTTTAGAAAATATTGTTCTATATTGTTGTAATAAGTGGTTAAAATTGCATCACTAAAACTTTATATTTAAGTTTTTTAGTTGGACATTTTTAAAAATATCTTAGAAATATATTTTTTTAAAATGCCTCCATTTGATTCTTCAATCAATTTAGAGACCCTGGAAGTTAACAGATTTTGCAATACTGTTTCTATGAAATTGGGCTGTTTTGACCTCGTTTGAAGCATTGTTTAGGGAATTAGTAGTAAAAATAAGAGAAGTATCATTTGCAAATTAAATAATTGGAGCAGTACACTAGGTAACTCATTTGTATAAATTATGTACAAAAGAGGACCTAGTATAGAACCCTGTGATACTCCTCTTTTGATAAGTAAGCCATCAGACCAGATTTTATTTCCTTTTGAATCTCTTTCACCCACGCATTGATATCTATTTTTAAGATATGATTTATAAATATTTAATTTTATTCTCCTTATTCAGTTTTTTTTCAGCTTACCTAAAAGAATTTGATGGTCCACCAAATCAAACGCCTTAGATAGATCCAGGCCTAATAATTTTTCTCTATTTTTTGAAGTTACTACGGAACATATTGCTCTAATAGTGAATCTTTTTTTCCTAAAACCGTTTTGACTTTCGTTTATAATATTGTGTTTATCGAAAACTGTAATGAGTCTGTGATACAACACTTTTTTAAAATGTTTGCTAAAATTATTTAACAATGCATTTGCTCTATAGTTAGTTATAAACGCATCCTAAACTAGTAAATTGTATAGTCTGCAGATCTCAGAGAGTCTTGTGTCATTTCTTGGAAAGCTCACGTTAGATAAAATTATTATAAAAATATAAATATATGTAAAACAAAATAATGTAACATTCCGATTCTTGCTTCTGTATAATAAATATCATCTTATGTTTTAAGTTAAAAATAAAGTTTTTAAAAACAAAATTTTTAATTTGAAAAACATAAGTGGCGCAGTCGTGACGGATAAGTGTAGTTTTTTCCAAAATCGTACCGATTGTAACGTGTTTTTGGACTAATCGTGAGTTTCAACTTTTTGACAATTGAACCAAGTGTTTGGTACACCGTAGAGGACCGCCTTCAATAGACCAGGCCTTTATCAAAGATATTAAGGACCGCCGAAAACCATTTGTGCAGACCCAAAGACAGGATCAACGAAGGAGTTTCTTCAAGTTCCTTCACCTCCTACTTTTCTCCGTATTCCTAAAAATAACTTAAAAATAACCTAAATTTCTTATATATAAGAAATTTAGGTTATTTTTAAGTTATTTTTAGGAATCAAATTTAAAGATTAAACCATATAAAATTTTATAAAATATAAATTCTAATTTATTTTAAGTCTATGACAGACAACGAATTAGACGATTTAAGTAATATATTTTTAAATTCATTAAGAGTAAACGATACTCTCGTTAGCTTAAATATGCTCAAAATGTTTGTCGACACGATCCCTCGTTTTGATGGTGATGTCAAAAATTTAAATAATTTTATTTCTGCTGGACAATTTTTGTTCGACACGTACGGCGGTACCGAAGACGCCAATTTGAAAAAAATATTTAATTCGCGCAATCCAAACTAAATTAATTTAAAAAGCACAAATTTTAGTTCGTTCCGAACTTAATACTTGAAAAGACATTAAAGACACTTTACAAACTTGTTTCGGTGACAATCGTAATATAGAATGCCTAGAACAAGACTTGTTTATGGCAAGACCCTTTAAAAATGACTTTGGTAAAAGATTACAAGTTTTACGAAGTAATCTTGCTCAAAAAATTAGTTTACAAAATATTGGCGCAGGTTACAAGAAAATTTTCATAGAAAACTATGACAAACTCACTTTAAGAACATATTCGTGGGTTATCACCCCAAATTCAATGTATTATTAGACTTAAAAACCCCACTTCTCTAGAAGAAGCATTAACATACATAACTGAGGAAGAAAACTTCCAATATACTCAAAATCTATTTAAAGCCCCACCGACACATATCAGTTTTATCCGCAACCTTTCTATCATTATAATAATCCTAATAATTACAAATCCAATCAAAATTATCATCAAGCTAACCATTTCCCAAGAAAGTTTCCAGCATTACAAGCCCCAAATTCTTCAGGATTTCCCAGCCAACCAATTCTACTTTTCCCAGGATAATTTTAAACCATCCGGACCCCGAAACTTTAAGGCAGAAGAACTTTTTAATATAGAAGAAAATTCTCCCCAAATAACTGAAATCCGTGTCGATGGTATCCGGAATTTTGTTCGAAATAAATTTGTTCGAAAGAAAATTATTCGAAGGAAATTTGTTCGAAAAAATTTGATCGAATGGAAATTTGTTCGAAAGAAATTTGTTCGAACGTAAATTTGTTCGAACGGAAATTTGTTCGAAGATTGTTTAATTTAAGCTCATTTAATAAAATAAAAACAATTGTAATCCTTTTTGAAAAGATATTCTATTCGCAAGGTAATTTATTATTCAAAATATTAAAATAATTTTAATCCTTTTCGGAAGGTATTGTATTGCAAGGTAATTTATTATTAAAAATATTAAAATAATTGTAATCCTTATTTACCTCTGCATGTACCTAAATTAGTATAAATTCCCTTACAACAATTGACAGCCTTAATTTATTATTCAAAATATTAAAATAATTTTAATCCTTTTTGGAAGGTATTGTATGGCAAGGTAATTTATTATTAAACATATTAAAATAATTGTAATCCTTATTTACCTCTGCATGTACCTAAATTAGTATAAATTCCCTTACAACAATTGACAGCCTTAATTTATCTTGCTATTTGTTCGATTGAACATGGCTCTAAATTTTATTAAAAGTTCGAAAGGCAAAAATCTTTTGTCTCTCAACGGTTTCATTTACACTTCCGACAAAGTTAGTGAAGACAGAATTTATTGGAAGTGTGAACATTTTAAAAAAAATTCCTGTAAAGGACGTGCAATTACATCAGGTGAAACAGTCATCAAAGAAAATAACTTGCATAATCATTCAGGAGATGCAGCAGGTATTGAGGCCAGAATTGTATATGGATCCATGAAGCAAGAAGCAGAAACCGGCCGTGATCCTCCTCATTACATTATTTCTAATAAAAAGTAAATTAAAATTTATGGGTTCCTAGAAAATATTAAATTATTTTATTTGATTGGCTAATTCAAATCTGGCCAATTATATAATATTGCCAATTTCCATTAGTTTGGCTCTCAAAAAAACAAAAATTGAATTTGTTAGGGAGAAAAAGGGTTCGGTCGCAAAAAACGCTTTAAAATATTTGTTTTAAAAGTTCGTATTTTTAAGTTTTAAATGAGTTATTAGAAATAACTTATTTATTTAGTATTTTATATTCGTTATTTTGTAATTTAAAATTATTTTTTTTAATATATTTAGTAGTATAAACTTGAATATCCAAAAATATTTCAGGGCTACGAAAAAAATATTTGGGGGTCTTAATACTATTATTGTATTAAGTTAATAGGTACGGGTAATCCAAAATATAAGTCACATAAAAATATTTAAAGAAAGAATACTAATTAATTAATTAATTAATTACAACGTTTAAACAGACGATACCTAAGTTAAAAGAATTTTAAGGCAGGTAATTTAAATATTAAATACAGAACAGGTTAAAAGTTAAACAAATCAATGCATTTGATTAAAATTAAAATTTAAATGATCCAAAGTGGAGTAAAAACCATTATAAAAAGATTTTAGTTTAACTTTAAATTCTTTACATCTAAATCTTTTTTAGTTTGTTAAAAAATGTAAGTTATTAAAATTAATTTAATTTTGGTTAAGCCAATATGAAAATCATTAATTCATTAACTTTTACTTGTTCATTATATAGGAATGTAATAAATCCGTCTATTTGCATTACATTAGTTATCAATAAATTGTACAGATTTCAAAAAGTGTTATTACCTATAGTCACGGCCAAATCTGTATGGGTGCACGTCATCAACGGCATATGACGTCAGCGTTAAGGTCTATTCATACGTGCCCAGACACAATCTAACGCTCGTGTATTGTTGACTGTTTATAGCGGTGGGGTCTGTTATTAAGATGGAATTATAACGTCCTTGTTATAATCTTCTGCACTAACTAATTAGGAGTTTGTTACAGGCAAATTTTTATTAAATATGTTTAAAGAGAAAACAAACGGAGTTTATTACATTTTTATTACATATGCACATAACAAAAAAATTCTAAATTATCAGAAACACAAAATATATAAATTACCAGTCGTCCTTGTCATCAGAGCAAACCAGGTCAGAATTGAAGTCTGATTATTTCCCCAAATTTATTATTAAGGGCGCAATGTCTTCGAAATCTAATAACGGCTAGTTGCCAACAAGCCTTATATCATTGTTTGCACAATCCAGGGATAGAATCTTATAAACATAATGTATAATATTATTTATAATAATTTGCAACAAACGATGCTTCCGGACGAAATGTCACAATTACAAAAATACATCAAATATAAAATGACAGCGACCCATCAATAATATTGAACGGTGCGCGCCAGCCTTAAGCTATTACCAACTGGCACACACAAAAATTACTAAGTGAATGGTTTTATTTTGATAATTTCGTGAAAAAACGTTTTAAAACAAGGAAATTGCTACAGTTTTTGGTAAACAATACGCAAATGAATGATTTCTTTTTAATAACACATCAGAATTACGCCTTAAAAAAGCAAATTTAACGACAGTAACTTTACAATTCAAAGTTGGTATTGCTGACGTCATTATAGATTTGGCCGTGACTATACTTATTTTTTTTTACAGAGCTGCTGCGGTATATAATAATCTCGATAATAATACTAAAATAAATTTAAATTTAAATCAACTTACTCATAGCACTTCCTTTCTGACTAAAATGGAAACAATCCTCAGATAAAAAGGAATAATCAGTCATATTATTTACAGTGCGTGGAAAATCCAAGTTTTGTGAAAATGGCTGGAGAACAACTGTGAATGTGTCGGTGTCAAATTCATCAAGTTTTGAAACTTCTATTTCAACATTTTGCCATTTAGTCATTAAATCTATATATAAATGACGAGTATTTTTAAAACGCTCTCCAATTAAACAAGGACATACAAATAGTTGATTTAGATAACATTGAATTGGTCTATTTGTAAAATCTATTAAGGTTTTTAGATCTAAAAAGAAGAAAGGCAAATTAATACAATACACTGCATGATATATCAATATTAGGTACCTATTGGCAATAACAATCCGGCCAGTATAAGAAATAAGCAATAATCAGCTATCGGCAAATAATAATTTCCAGTAATTATTTTTTAATATTATAAAAAAATTATAATTAAATTTTTTAAAAAATTGTTTGTAAAATGGATTATTATTGCCACACATGTGTACCTACATAATAATTCTTAATAACAATAAATGGTATTTTTATGAATGGCTAATAATATTTATTTAATAATTACTAAATTATTGTAAACAAATATTTGCTAATTTTTACCAAATATTAACCACATTTTATGGTAATCCAGGTTCAAGTGAATAAGTTGTTTGTAATTATTGCAGACATTTTTAAACATTTAACCATAATTCTTGTAATTTTCAAATTGGAACTTATTCTTACAAACTTTTTGTAGACCCAGTAACAAAAGTATTTGTTGAAAATTGGTAACATAAAAAAAGAATTTTGATAAGAAATGTTGATTTATTAATTAATTTCCTAAACAAAATAAAATTACCCAGTAAGCACCAAAAACTCGGCAAACAGTCGGCCTTCGCTCGGCATAGGCGGTTCAGCTTGCCCCAGCCGGCCCGCTTACGGCCCGCGTTATGTTACCCCGGTACCGTTTAGCCATGTTGTAACCAAAGTCGGCCAGAATACGGCATGCCGCTGCAAAATCCTTCGGCTTGCCCTAGCCGGCCCGCTTACAGCTGGAATACGGTCTGCCGCGGCATAAGCGATACATCTCACGGCTGCTTACGCACGCGAGCTAACTATAAATAGCGATTTGTTGCAATATTTAGTTGGAAGTGTGCGTCCGTAATGACATAGCTGAACATTAATTGTTTGGAGTCCCCATCTTCATCCTCATCTGCTCAGTAACGAATAATGTCTAGCTAGTCGAGTGTCTTAAAGAAGTATCTGCCATTCAGAGTATTTCAGGACTGAACTTATAGGATATACCTCTCCAGGACGTCTGTAGGCTTTTTTTAAATGGCCAGGTGGTTGTGGCCGGCACTCGGCCAACTATACACAGCCGACACTCGACCGAGTAAACATAGCCGACATTCGGCCAGGCGGATATGCCCGACAGTTGGCCAGGCGGACATGCCCGTTTTACACGCCGCACAGTGGGGCAAATAACCCTCATAGCTGGCATTAAATATAATTAAGTTTCTAAAACAATATATTTATGATAACTATTTAGAGAATTGGCTTTCGTAAAAATTAAAATATTTTGTTACTCTATAAATCACTTTTATTAGAGTTTGAAGTGTGTTGAACGTGTAGTATTACAATAAACAAGAATTAATCAATTATGTGTTATGATGTTATTAGAAACATTTATAGAAATATTTAAAACTAATATTCTTAAAGATACGCTAAAGCATCATCATCACTATCTTCATCATCATCATCATCTTTATCATCAATAACATTTGTTTCTTTGTCACAATAAAAATTAAAAGATGGGGCTTTTAACATGGCTAATGCTTCTTTCGGAAGATTTTGGGCCTTGTTCTTTTTGGATTTTTGTTTACCAGAGATTACAGGATCTGAACTTATTAAAAAAAAAAAAAATATCCCTATTAGATTTTTCTCGACTGCATTTTCTAGAATTTTGCTCTCTATACCTCTTAAAATCCCTATTTCTCGCCTCTTGCGATTCTTCCGTTAGTTGACCAATAGGCAAAAGTGCTGAGCATATAATTTCCGGTCGATGGATTAGGTACTTGTGTAATGTTGGAGGCATATTGTACCAAGGATACAATGAAACAAAATATCTAGCCGTATCATGTGCAAAGAGACGGTATTTTTCTGCATCTATCTCAAATCCACTAGATACTACGATCAATATTATATGTAGTTGTTTTATGAGTCCAAGATCTATTTTAGTTATTAGTGCAGACAGTTCTGGATTTTGAAAACAACGCCTGGCGGTGTTACCATCATTGGAGTTACCGAACCCAGGTTTAGGTGTGTCTACAATTAAACCACATTTTTCTTTAAATTCTCTTTGAATACGAGCTTTATTCTCAGATACAGTTTCCTTGTTGATTGGCCCACGAGCTTGCCATTGTTTAATTGGGAGTTTATAAGATAAATGCAACAGACATTCAAAAAAACGAATCCACCCATGAAGCGCTGACAAACCGAATCTTCTGTTTTTATTTCCTTTGCAATTATATTGTCTATTTGGTTAAACTGTTTAGAAGTAGCGCCGCATATTAAACATTTCATTGTAGATGTAGTTTCTGTTAGGGCATTACAGACTTTTCCGTCCACCATGGAACAGATTAACTTGTGATTGACCTTTAATTGTTTAGACTTAATTGTTATATTGCTGTCTATCAGTTTCTTTATTTCATCCTCTATTTTATTATATTCTGCAATAGAAACACAAGTGGACTCCTTCTTAAATTCGATTTTAATAGGCCGGCAATATCTCGTCTGCTTCATGGTTATAAAATACTTGCTTGTACTGTTTCCTGAAGACCCGTCAAACCCCCATTTAGAAATCAAACACAATTTATTCAATTCTTTAAAAGATTGAATGATGACGTGTGACAAACATTTAACCATAATTCTTGTAATTTTCAAATTGGAACTTATTCTTACAAACTTTTTGTAGACCCAGTAACAAAAGTATTTGTTGAAAATTGGTAACATAAAAAAAGAATTTTGATAAGAAATGTTGATTTATTAATTAATTTCCTAAACAAAATAAAATTACCCAGTAAGCACCAAAAACTCGGCAAACAGTCGGCCTTCGCTCGGCATAGGCGGTTCAGCTTGCCCCAGCCGGCCCGCTTACGGCCCGCGTTATGTTACCCCGGTACCGTTTAGCCATGTTGTAACCAAAGTCGGCCAGAATACGGCATGCCGCTGCAAAATCCTTCGGCTTGCCCTAGCCGGCCCGCTTACAGCTGGAATACGGCCTGCCGCGGCATAAGCGATACATCTCACGGCTGCTTACGCACGCGAGCTAACTATAAATAGCGATTTGTTGCAATATTTAGTTGGAAGTGTGCGTCCGTAATGACATAGCTGAACATTAATTGTTTGGAGTCCCCATCTTCATCCTCATCTGCTCAGTAACGAATAATGTCTAGCTAGTCGAGTGTCTTAAAGAAGTATCTGCCATTCAGAGTATTTCAGGACTGAACTTATAGGATATACCTCTCCAGGACGTCTGTAGGCTTTTTTTAAATGGCCAGGTGGTTGTGGCCGGCACTCGGCCAACTATACACAGCCGACACTCGACCGAGTAAACATAGCCGACATTCGGCCAGGCGGATATGCCCGACAGTTGGCCAGGCGGACATGCCCGTTTTACACGCCGCACAGTGGGGCAAATAACCCTCATAGCTGGCATTAAATATAATTAAGTTTCTAAAACAATATATTTATGATAACTATTTAGAGAATTGGCTTTCGTAAAAATTAAAATATTTTGTTACTCTATAAATCACTTTTATTAGAGTTTGAAGTGTGTTGAACGTGTAGTATTACAATAAACAAGAATTAATCAATTATGTGTTATGATGTTATTAGAAACATTTATAGAAATATTTAAAACTAATATTCTTAAAGATACGCTAAAGCATCATCATCACTATCTTCATCATCATCATCATCTTTATCATCAATAACATTTGTTTCTTTTCACAATAAAAATTAAAAGATGGGGCTTTTAACATGGCTAATGCTTCTTTCGGAAGATTTTGGGCCTTGTTCTTTTTGGATTTTTGTTTACCAGAGATTACAGGATCTGAACTTATTAAAAAAAAAAAAAAATATCCCTATTAGATTTTTCTCGACTGCATTTTCTAGAATTTTGCTCTCTATACCTCTTAAAATCCCTATTTCTCGCCTCTTGCGATTCTTCCGTTAGTTGACCAATAGGCAAAAGTGCTGAGCATATAATTTCCGGTCGATGGATTAGGTACTTGTGTAATGTTGGAGGCATATTGTACCAAGGATACAATGAAACAAAATATCTAGCCGTATCATGTGCAAAGAGACGGTATTTTTCTGCATCTATCTCAAATCCACTAGATACTACGATCAATATTATATGTAGTTGTTTTATGAGTCCAAGATCTATTTTAGTTATTAGTGCAGACAGTTCTGGATTTTGAAAACAACGCCTGGCGGTGTTACCATCATTGGAGTTACCGAACCCAGGTTTAGGTGTGTCTACAATTAAACCACATTTTTCTTTAAATTCTCTTTGAATACGAGCTTTATTCTCAGATACAGTTTCCTTGTTGATTGGCCCACGAGCTTGCCATTGTTTAATTGGGAGTTTATAAGATAAATGCAACAGACATTCAAAAAAACGAATCCACCCATGAAGCGCTGACAAACCGAATCTTCTGTTTTTATTTCCTTTGCAATTATATTGTCTATTTGGTTAAACTGTTTAGAAGTAGCGCCGCATATTAAACATTTCATTGTAGATGTAGTTTCTGTTAGGGCATTACAGACTTTTCCGTCCACCATGGAACAGATTAACTTGTGATTGACCTTTAATTGTTTAGACTTAATTGTTATATTGCTGTCTATCAGTTTCTTTATTTCATCCTCTATTTTATTATATTCTGCAATAGAAACACAAGTGGACTCCTTCTTAAATTCGATTTTAATAGGCCGGCAATATCTCGTCTGCTTCATGGTTATAAAATACTTGCTTGTACTGTTTCCTGAAGACCCGTCAAACCCCCATTTAGAAATCAAACACAATTTATTCAATTCTTTAAAAGATTGAATGATGACGTGTGACAATGTTTGGCATAATCGCTCTGTAGTGTGATCTAATAGAGCTTGTAATTTAAAAGAAGCACTTGTTTCAGTTGCTGAAATATCTGTAGGATAGCATAATTTTTTTGCTGCCCGCACTATTTTGTAGGAAGGAAACTTTTCTGGCGCCTTTCTTCTAATTACATCATATTGCTCGCGGGAAAGTTTGGCGTCTATTAAAACAGCCAGAGCATCTTCAGCGAGCAAAATCAGTTGTTGTGGTTCCAATGATTTTTGAAAAGCTTGTGGATTAATGGTTATATTTTTTAAAACTTTTGATGCTTGGACTTGCCCTTGGGCTCGTAAGCTCATACAAGTAGCATAAACTAATGATGAAGTAGAATTGGAATCACGCAAATCCTTCGTTTTAGATCGTTTTGTTCTGTCCGAACATATCTCGAATAAAGTATGCCGCCGACCGCGTTTATTTTGCGGCACATTTTTTGTGAAGAGAGGGAACGAAAGTGATGTTTTAAGCCACTCTTTATTAATATTTTGAAAATTTTCTTTGATCCTACATGCCTTTGCCCATTTTAATCTATACTGATATTTGAATTTTGATAGTTTCTGCTTTAAATTACTTAAATTATTATTATCACAACCCCAGCTCTTTTACTAAAAAATCATACTGGTTTTTAAAACTACCTTTGCCAGAACATTTCATAATAGTCAGTAGTTCTCTTCTTGTGATTATTAATGTATTTAAATTTGTTCCTAAAACAAAATAATTAATAGTACCTAACAAATAATAATGAATATTAGGGAAAAAATTGTTAGCCTAAAAATCGATATAATTAGTAAAGTAGCAAAAAGTAGCAAAAAGTGTTTGGTTTTTCCTAAAGTCAATGATACGGTGGTAACATAAAAAAATACATTGATACTTGATATGCTTGGGAAGCCAAATAAAATGACAGTTATTTTAGTTTATTTTTTAAATTTTACTAGATTAAATTAGGTCACTTATTTATTTAAGTCTCTGTATTATTAAAATAATTTAAAAGTTACTGAAATATAGTTACATACCTGAAGTTGAAGCTTCCATTGTCGAAAAATATTTTTGTTAATCAATTGCACCTAGAATTACACTTTAAATAGGAACAAAATAAATTAAGCAAAACGCTTGCGCTGTAAAAAGTAAGGTTAGCCATTTGACAGATGACAAATTTTATTTATTTATTTTTAAAATCATTTAATTATCTACTTATTGGAGTAGATAAAGTATAGTATTACACTCGCATTATTCATTCTGATGATTTAAGTCTCTCGCAAACCTCATCCTCGTGAATAATATCTGCATTATCTCTCGTATAATAATAATAATAATAATAATAATAATAATAATAATAATAATAATAATAATAATAATAATAATAATAATAATAATAATAATAAAAATAATAATAATAATAATAATAATAATAATAATAATAATAATAATAATAATAATAATCATCATCTTTATTGCCCAACAGGATTCTCCCAATTACAGGACAATGGTATAAATATATACAGGGTGTCCCAGAACTCGCGCCACAGAGATAAAGGGAACGTACCAAAAGTAATTTGAAACATATATTTAAAAATTCAAATTGTCCAACGCAAAGGATAAGGGAGATAAGAATAAAAAACGATAGCCAATCCCAATAGATCACCACAGGGAATTCTTTAAATTGCTAGGATACTTAGGTTGCATTGTTGATAATAAAAAATATGTAAAATATTTGGTCCACTGGAATCCAATTCATTGTAACACTGCTGTCAATCTTTACTTCTGTCATTAATATTATATTTGGTTATAACACAGTTATAAATTAAGTTATTATAAATAATGTTTTCCTTAGATGATTATACCGAAATGATAATTATTTATGGGGAGTGTGGGCGCAACGCCATGGCGCGCCAGGGAGACAGCGAGAGTTTTTTCCCAGCGCTTTCCTGATCGTCCCCTGGACAGTAAAGTAATCCTTAGAACTATCACAAGAACCCGAGAGACCGGTCAAGTTGTTCCGCTTCGTAAGGGTATTGGAGGTGCTCCCAAACGTATTAGAACAGTGGAAAATGAAGAAGCTGTTTTGAATGCGTTTAAGGAAAATAGTAGGAAGAGCATAAGGGAAGTTGCTCGAGAACTGGATATTTCCCGCTCCACAGTTCAGCGGGTTATGAAGAACGATCGGCAACACCCTTTTCATTTTACCCGAGTGCAGCACCTTCAGCCGGAAGATTATCCCACTAGAGTCGAATTCTGCCTGTGGTTGCTGGAGCAAGAAAATCTGCAGCCAAATTTTGTTTCTAACATTATGTTTTCGGATGAGTCAATCTTTGCCATAATTGTATGTATGTATGGGCAAATGAAAATCCGCATGCTATATTCCAAGGGGGGTTCCAACATCGATTTTCTATTAATTTTTGGAGTGCTATAATAGGAGATCGCCGAAAAATTCGGTGCGTAAAAAGAGTCAAACGCCGCCAAAACCAAAGACAAAGCGAGGCGGTGCCGACTTTGTACATGCAGCTTGTGTGAAATATAATGTCCTTTAATAAAAATAAGGTTGACCAATACAATTTTCTTGACGGTAACGATTATAGGAGGTTACAATAGACTAAAAATTATAATTTTGTAATATGAAGGTAAAGTTTAAAAATTATATTTCATTTTATTTATTGTGATGGGTTGGTTGGTAGGGTAGGTATACCCAACCAACCGACCCAAATACTATAGATTTTGCCAACCGTGTTTGGATTTGGAACCAACTGCCAAGACTTTGGGGGGGGGCGACTCCCCCCCTACACCCCCCTTAGGCCCGGCCCTGCTCGCTGTAACAATTCAGCATCCAAAGGTGTAGATGTTTTTGTATGGACTTTAATGTCATCTGCATAGGCCAAAGTAAGACAAGAGAGTGATGTTAGTAAGTCATTAATGTACAAATTAAATAAAAGTGGACCTAGATTGGATCCCTGGGGTACTCCAGAGCTGGCAGTAAAAGAGCATGAAGAAAAACCATTATAACTAACGTTTTCGATTAACTAGCATTTTCGATTAGTCAAGTATGATTTAAGAAGTTTTACGAAATTAGAAGAAAACCCAAAACCATTAAGTTTCTGTATTAAAATAGAATGACTAATGTTATCAAAAGCTTTCGATAAATCAATGTAGATCACATCGACCTGTCCACGCCTATCCAAAACTTCAGAAATATATTGGGTGACAGATGCCAAATTAGTAACTGTTGATCGTCCTAAAACAAATCCATGTTGATAGGGTGAGATACGTTGTTTGGTATTAAAATATATGGTGGAGTATAAAATTTGTTTAAATATCTTTGAAAAATTTTATAGAATGGATATAGGTCGGTAATTTTCAACTAATGTTTTATCGCCTTTCTTGAAAATAGGTACTACACGCGCCGTTTTCAATTTTTGTGGGAATGTAGATTTTCTAATGCACATATTAAGAATTAATGTTATAGGCTTTGCAAGTGCAAATCTACAATCTTTAACAATAAAGCTAGGAATACCATCATCACCAGTCGTAAATTTATTAGATAACTTTTCCATGACTTTAATTACATCTTCTTCAGTTACAAGATTCATTGAGAAATTTAAGTTGGATAAGTATGTATTATCGGCTTGCGAAGGATTGGCATTAAAAAATTTTGAAAAAAACATGCTAAAAGCGTTGACAATATCAGAAGGATTTGTAAGCTCTTTGACATCTAAATAAAGGGTCCCTGGAATTCGTGTTGTGTCGCGTTTTTCATTTATATAGCTCCATAAGGCAGATGGGTTTGTTTTAATGTTTTCTTGGACTGTAGAAATATAGTTGGGTAAGAATTTCTCAAACGGGCCACCTGAATTAGGTCAAAATTAGTTTTTGTTTGTAGATACATTTTTTCGATAGTATTTTACATCACTAACACAAATCCTAAAGGATTTTGTAAAAAAAATTTCAATTGACATATTCATGATATTAAAAGTCAAAGTTTTTAATAATTAAAAAATAAAAAAATTCATTATGGCTGAACTAATTATCCGATTCCAACGATATAACTAGCGTTGGAATCTTGTTTTGACATAGATTCTTTGTTATTTTTTTTTAATTGTCCAATTTTCATTTAGGTCGATTTTTTTTTTGTTTTTTTATACCAAATTCGGAAATAATTGGCTTCTGCTATCGACTCGACAAAAAAAACCCATATACTCCAATCATTTCTCGAAATTATGCTGCTGAGAAAAAAATGGCCCGCAAGTTGACAAAAAGTTATTCGTCCTTTGGTGGGTGCACCGCGGTGGCCGCTCACGCTTCGAACCGTGTACGCTGTAGGCGCTTGTGACGCGACGTCTTACGGTGGTCTGGAATGGTACCTACTTTTCTAATCAAAATTAATTTGTGACCGTAATAATTGACTTAGAGCTTGTTTTTTTGTATTAAATTCAGAAATAAATAGGCTTTATATTGGTATATACAAAAATAATTTTCGTTCATTATATTTTATTATGTTTTACAAAAAAAATTTTTTACACATTTTAAAAAATTATTCTGCCCTTATAAATAAATGTAAAGCCTTGTGGTTTTTGTTTGTTTTATTAAGAAATTGATTGGCTTTGCTGTGTGGAAGTCAAAAATATTTTATGTCCATAGTATTTTTATAGGTGTAGCGCCAAACTAAAGAAATAAATTTTTAAAGTACACTTTTTGGTAAAATAAAAATTTTGCCTGTATTAATAATCTCAGAGTCTCGTTTTGGTTGTTGATTTATTAAGAAATAAATGGGGTTTATTGTGATAAAAACAAAAACATTTTATGTGCATTATATTTTGTTTTAAATGGCGCCAAACTTAAATATTAACATTTTTTTATAACCAACACTTTGTGGTAAAATAAAAATTATGCTTTTTTCGTGATGTAAACAAAAATCTGTACCTACCTACTAATAAACGTATTTGTGTTCTTTTTTCTATATGGAGCTCGGTCATACATTACATAAGTTTAAATTATAAAATATTTTTATTTTGTTTATATAATATATTATAAGTAACAGCGCCTAAACAGCAAAGAAAATTTTGTTTTAATCTAAAATCTAGACAGGAAAAGTGACAGTATTGCCTGCCTGGACAGCAGGAAAAGTGACAATTTCTCGATTTTAAAAATACAGTATATCAATATTACATCCATGATTTAACCATGATTAACCATGATGGTTAAAAATAAAAAAAATAGTACGAAAATAATATTTTACTTTGACTTCTGAATAATATTTTACATTTCAATTTTGTACAAATTGCTTTCGTCGATAGATGAAATAATCTTACAAATAACATGTTTCGGTTTTGCGGCTGGTTGAAATACAAAAAAAATACAAAAAAAAACTTCTTAGCCCAGTCAAAAAAATGTTGGGGCGTCGTAATTTGTGAGTTTACGGGTTTGTGTAAACTTGCTCGATAAGCATTTCTTTTTTATTATTAGATATTACTTATTTTGTGTGACCGAACTAAATATAGAATAAATTAAATATTTCGATTTAGTCACTTTAAGAAAATTATTAAAATATAACTTTAGTTTTTAAAAGAAAATTACAATCTAAATCAAGGAGTAGAAAATTTGACAGATAATCCACGTGAGTACCAAGAAGTACCAAGTGAGTACCAAGAAAAATGTAATTTTTAGTTTGGCGTCTTATAAAACTAAATATAATGAATGCAAATTATTTTTGTTTATATCAGTATAAAGCTTATTTATTTCTAAATAAAATACAAAAAAAACAAGGCTCCAAGTCAATTATTAAGGTCACAAATTAGTTTTAATTAGAAAAGTACCATTCCAGACCACCGAAAGACGTCCCGTCGCAAGCGCGTACAGCATACACGGTTCGGAGCGTGAGCTGACACCGCGCGCGGCCACAAAAGGACGAATAACTTTTTGTCAACCTGCGGGCCATTTTTTTTTCTCAGCAGCATAATTTCGAAAAATGATTGGAGTACATGTGTTTTTTTTTCGAGTCGATAGCTGGCGCAGAAGCCAATTATTTCCGAATTTGTTATAAAAAAAACAAAAAAAAATCGACCTAAATGAAAATTGTACAATTGAAAAAAATAACAAAGAATCTATGTCAAAACAAGATTCCAACGCTAGTTATATCGTTGGAATCGGATAATTAGTTTAGCCATAATGATTTTTTTGATTTTTTAATTACTAAAAACTTTTACTTTTAATATCATGAATATGTCAATTGAAATTTTTTTTTTACAAAATCCTTTAGGATTTGTGTTAGTGATGTAAAATACTATCGAAAAAATGTATCTACAATCAAAAACTAATTTTGACCTAATTCAGGTGGCCCGTTTGAGAAATTCTGACCCAGTTATTATATATAATAACTGGGTCAGAATTTCTCAAACGGGCCTATAGGCATTATTAATTTGACTTTTGGTTTGGGTACGAAGTCGCTTATATTCGAGAAGAAAGAATGTTTGCTTGTTTTGAAGCAGATTCTTTCTATATATTTCTTTTGTTTTATGGTTAGTTTTAATTTCTTTGGAAAACCAAGTAGGAAAAGCATTATTAAGAGTTTTACTTTGAGTTTTTTGAACTGAATAATTAAAGACGCTGTACAATGTTTTATAAAATTCGCTAACCATTATGTCAACTTTGAAGCATTGGGTTAAGAAATCGCAGTTAGTATTAAGAAGGTCATGATATAGATTAATGAAGTTTGCCTTTTTAAAATTATATTTTTTATTGTTACTTAATGGAAATTTGGTGCCTTGTGTATAAATACCAGTAACTACTATATTTAAAGACGGATGATAAAGGTCTTCAGGTACAAATGGCATTTCACAGTGAGTGGTTGATATATCACAGGTAGTATTCGAGAGGATTAGATCAAGTTGTTTATTAACAGAGTTTAAAATTGTATTGTATTGATTCAGATCCAAAATATTGCAAAATAACTTAAAAGTAGAATATTTAGAACAAGAAGAGCTTGGTAGATTGAGTTTAGGCAAATTAAAGTCACCAATAAGAATAACTGGTTCATTCAATAGGAATACTTCTAGAGCACTAGTAAAAATGTCTAAATCATCTGATGTTGTATCAGGAGGAATATATACTAGACCAAACTTACAAATAAAAGGCTTAGTGATTTTACATATTATTATGTCGATTATTGGTACGAGATTTGATAGTTTACTGGTATCTAATTGGGTAAACGTAATATGGTCCTTAAAACCAAGAAGCACACCTCCACCGCGGTTACGGTTTACTACATTAAAGTTTCGGTCATCTCTTACAATTCTGTAGTTATCAGGAAAAAGCTCAGATGAGTTAACAGAATTACTAAGCCAAGTCTCTGTAATACATATAATATCATAGTCTAAACAACAACAGCTTTTATAGAAAGTATTAGTTTTAGAATTAAGACCTCGTGTGTTTTGATAATATATACAAAGTGATTTAGGAGAATCTTTGGGCACATTTAGTTTTCCTGTTTAGTAATGGTGGGTATACCGTTTTTATAACGGATTTTCAAACTACTTTCCCCATTCTCAATACGAGCATTTAGCTCTTCTTTAACAGTCTTGTATAATTTTATTTGCATAGGTGTACGATCAGTTGAAATAGATATACCTCTCCATCTAGGATTATTTTTAAGTTTGTTTGCATTACGAATTAATTCAATAGGAGTGTTCTCATGAACAAAGCTTACCTTAATAGGTCTAGAAAGATTGGTGTTTGATGCATCAAATTTACCCAGTCTTGATATATTTAAATGATCGTTATTGATAGCTAAATTGTCAAGTCTTCACCGTATCCTTATCTTGAGATATTTGTACTTCTTTAGAAACGGAGGTGTTTTCTTTAGAGCCATATATAATAATATTTTTTTGTCTCCTTTTTCTCTCTGATATTTCCTGAATAATTGTTTCAGTTTCCATCAGAGATATTGAGTTTTGAGTATTGGTGGTCACATATCTACTTTCAAGAACATTTATTTTATAATAATATACTAATATTAAAGTTAGGTCAAAGGTCAGTGCCTAAGCAGGATTCCGCGTTTTAACGACATTTTGTTATTTTATACCGTTTTGTACCCTTATACCTAGTTTTACATTTGAATATAACATTATACTTTTACTTACACAAGCAGATCGTTTAAAAAAACGGTTCCCCTGGATTCATCTCTTATTATCAATCCCGGCTGTCTGTGACGTCAGCCAGGATTGGTATAGATCCCGGAAGCATCTAAACATACCTATAGGATTCGGCAACCGTATTTAATCTCATTGGCCGATTTAATATTTTGATCCGGTGCCGAATCTCATAGTGAAATGTTTGAACAGTGCTCAAATCATAAGTAAAATGTTATTTTTGCTACATGTGGTTCCGAATCCAGAGTAAAATGTTAGGATTATTTGCGCTGTATATACAAATTTTAGGTTATGCCTAACGGTTTACATTGACACATCAGTGTTGATACAATGGATAAGCTTATTAAAGTAAACGAATTTATTTAACGGACTAAATTTGAAAAAGAAGAAGAAATTATTGCGTGGCTCCATGCATATAAGAAAGAAAGTGCCACGTCATGGTGCGTTAAATCTGCATTAAAAACCTTTCTTTGTCATCATGATGATTGTAAACAAATAAAGCCATAGGAAAAAAAACACACAATGTCTTGAAGAGTTATGCATACCAAAATATTATTTAAATCGGACAATGAGATTAAAGATTGGGATGCTAAGATGCACCCCGGAGCCGGGAGAATAGTGACAGCAAAAAAAAATACTTACTGGGTGCAGGAATCAGCATGACAAAGGTTCTAGGAACTGAGTCTCTTAATTTTCTTAAAGTTTTAATTAGATCTCTTCTGTGATGTCTTAATACTTGGTTCAAATCTTTTTGATAGCAAATATTTAGACAAAAATCGTTTGGGCCAATCATCAAAGAAATTAGCTAAAATATAAAAACACTTTTATATCATACTTTATAAAAAATATTGGCGTAAATATTTTAAAACTTTCCTTTTTATGCATTGATAATAAAATCAAAAATAAAGTTAGTAAATCAAAAATAAAGTTAGTTGGTCAAATGTGGTCTAATATTTGTTTAATGTTTTTTTTACAAGTTTATAAGGTCTATTCAAATAAAATAACTTATTGGATGATTTTTTTGTTAAGTTTGACATAATTGTCTTAATGGTTAGGTAAGGACAGAGCTAGAAAAGGTACTTTCCAAAAGTATTAAAATACTAGATACCTAGTAAATAATTTTTAATTATTAAAAAAATGATAAAAGACAAGATATCTGTTATGTTTTAAGATAACAGATATTTTAAAAATAAATACCCAATTAAATATAAAAAGAGGTCGAATACGTTAACAGTAGTTATTGTAGATTGTTAGTGTTATTTGGTACCTAATTATTATTTAGTAATTTATTTATGTTTAGCATATAGGTACATAATATAATAAATAAATATTTATTTCCAGAACTAAAACCATTTAACACAAATTTAAAAATTGTTAACAAATTAACATTATTAGTTTTAATAGCGAATTCATATTTTTGGATCTGTCAACACTGCCTTATTATACGTTTGAAGATTTAAGTTATGCAAAAAAGCTATTTTTTTAAATAAAAGTTTAGCATACTAAACACTTATTCCAGAAATTTGCTTTTTTGCATAACACAAATCTTCCGATACGGGTGTTTGAAGTTTTGTGTTATGCAAAAAAAACAATTTTCTGGAATAAACGTTTAAAATGCTAAACGTTTATTTCAGAAAATTGCTTTTTTGTATAACTTAAATCTTCATATACGCCACTTTATGAATTTTATTATTTTTTTTATGTACAGGCAAATTTTAAAATTTGGTCTGGTTTTTAGACATTTACCGTTCTTCAACATCTTTTAAAAGGTTTCTATAACCTATGATAGCTACGCCCCTGATCGTCTTACTCAGTTTTTTTTTAAGTTTTATTGGCTTTTAGGCTTTTTTAACCTATTTAGCCAGCACATTATATGTATATTTTGTCTTAATAAACAATCACACCACCCAGGGCTGTGACCGGGAATCGAACCCGGTACCGTTAGACGCAGATTGCACAGCTTTGTAGCCTAACCCACTGCGCCATCCTCGGAGTCAGTTTTATTAAAGACATTTCATAAATTGAAGTTTATATTAAATAGTATTTATCTATTTAAATAAATTTAACCAAAAATCAGTTCTTATCATTTATCTCTGACTTTTAAGTTTCTTCATGGGTTTGTTTATGTTCACCATGATACTTACTTTAATTTAAAAACCTGGTAACCAAAAAAATACAAAAATTATCTATTAAAATCGTATTTTTAGTTCAAATTAAATTAATTTAGTTGGGTTCTCTTTCCTATGTAATAATAATAATAATAATAATAATTGTCTTTAACAAAAGTTAAAATTAATATGTACATTACTAATAAAATATTATGGCCTTTTGAAAAATGTATTTTTTTCAATAAAGAACATTTATTATTATTAAAATAAAATATATTGTAAGTAAGTGGCACACACAGCGAAGTTAAGCCATGCTCCACACCCAAAAGTCCCACTTTGACGTTTTTTTTCTTTATTTATTAATTTATTTTAGACTATGTTATAGCGGAACGAAGTCTTTTGGCAGTTTGGCATGTTCTGTATGTTCTGTGATTTGGCATTAAGGTTATGTATCCGTCAAAATTTCATAAATATATTATTTAATATAGTATAATATTTAAAAAATATCAAATCTTAAATACAAAACAAAAATATCACTAAAACTTGAATAAACCATTTAACTATAAACTTAATAAATTATTATTTATATGTATAAAGTCAAATAACAAGCTCAACCAATTAGTTTTAGACAAGAATTTATTTTAAATAAAATCTTCATTTTAATGTTTTTTGTTGTTTTTATTGAATTTTAAACATATATTAATAAATTATAATATTACATATTATGTGGGAAAATTCAAATTATTTTTTGATGTACCATATGCGCATGACAGTTAAAACTTAACCAAGTCTAAAGCTTGGACAACCGAGATTGCACTCTGGCATATACTTGCTGTTTTCGTACAGTTGACAGTTGTATATATCTAGGTATATACTTGAGAAATCGAACGCGCAAGGTATACTTTAAGTGTATCCAGAGCGCACTCTTGTGAGTTTTCGTATGTTAAAATGTTAACAGGGCCGAGCCTAGGGTATCTGCCGCCCGGGTGCAAGAATTAAATTTGCCGCCCCCATTGATGTAAAAAATTAGGTTGTCGGTAGGGAACGAGTTCATAATTTATCATTCTCAATAAACATATGTTTATATATAAGTTTATATATATAACAAATTTTATAGTAAATAATAAGTATTTATTAACAAATACTTAAAAGAATAAAATAAAAATACATTCAGGAAAAAAAAAAACAAAAATAATTAAACTAAACTAAAAAACTAAAATCTACTTTTCTCGCTTTTTTAATAGCAAATTCCCTAATCAAGTCGCCTACATCCAAGTTGTTAGAAATATCTTCTTCAATACTTATAATTGCTAAATTTGAAAGCCTAAATTGACTCATATTGGATCTTAAATAGGTCTTAATTAGTTTTAATTTCGAAAATGACCGCTCTCCATGGGCATCGTCAAAAATATTCTTAAAGCTACAAATAAATTCGGAAAGATGCCTTTTAAATCATTAACTAGTTTTTAACTCAAACGCATTAAAAGACAAAAGAAACTACTATGTTTGCATCCTATTTGCCTCACGTTAATAGAAAAACTAAAAATTGCTGAAATACGCAACCGTTAAATCGGAAGAAATTATGCTTTAACCAGAGATAGGGTTATCTCTGCTTTAACTTAACAGTTCAGCTTGTAAACAATATTACGTGGTACACAGCGCGCGATTTGATTGGTTTCCCGTAAGCCCGCTTCCGTAAAACATGAAACTTGACGAACTCGAAGCGGACGGACGGAAAGCGAAGCGGGCGGGCGGCAATCTATAAACCGGGCTTTAACAAAATTGCCATTATCATTTTTTGTGGCTATCGCGCGTTCGGTTATGTCTTTTTTATCATTGCCGCCTGACAGCACAATTTTGGCATTGTTTTTATGTGTAGAATAAAAACGATGATTCCTTGAAACGCCGACATCAATAAAACGCAAGTAATGTTTAGAAAGTTTTTTGCATATTGCAAGGTGGCTTTTTTATTCTTGATAATATGATACAATTTTTTTTATGATATTTTGCCGCCCTGTGTTAGTGCCGCCCGGGTGCCATGCACCCCTTGCACCCCCGGCACGGCTCGGCCCTGAATGTTAAGAGTGAAAAATAAAGAAATTTTAATAACAATTATTCACAATGATAATATTGGGGTGGGTTTATTTTATATACGATACCTGCTTTCAAAAGGAAATATGGATGTAAAAGATATTATTATCAAGCAGTGTAATACATTATTGTGTGTAAAATCTCAATACTATTGCATCCTCATGGGTAAAGTGTGTTAAATAATAGAGTTCTAACAGAAGGGGTTACATACTGTGAGATGCCAAAAAGGCCCACACTAATAATCATACCACTTGTATATTGTATATATGGTATATGTTGTATATATTGTATATATTGCATATATTGTAAATATTGTATAATATACAATATATACAATATATTACTATATTAATTATAAATATATATTATTGTACATATTGTATACAAGGTGTGCCTAAACTTAGTGGCATAAATTTAGGAGCAGATTAAGTAAGTCAAAATAAGACGAAAATCTAAATAAATATTTATTCTAATTACTTATGTAAATATTGTATAATATACAATATATTACTATATTAATTATAAATATATATTATTGTATATATTGGATATATTGTATATATTTTATATAATAATAATAATGTAACGTTTTTAACTGTTCGTAGTGTGAATTAAAACACGCACTGGTTAATTAACGAACTAAACTATTTATTTAATAACTTAACTACACTTAAAACACTATAAAACTAACTAAACACTTAACTACTAATTATTTATATCACTACTAGTTTATTTATTTGCACTTATATTTATTTATTTCTTCGCGCGTACCAAAGCTCAACTAACTGCTCTGTGCTGCTCCGTTTCTTATATATTACAGCGCTTACGTCTTCTGGAACATTCCAGCGAGCTCCACACTCTCGATTATTCGAGCGCTGAGTCACCAGCGATGACTCACCGGCGATGACTCATCGGCGATGAGTCATCACTTCGATATCCAGAGCGGTACTCGCTACATTGCCCCCGTCTTAAAACATTTTCGTCCCGAAAATGATCCTCAGCTCCATGGCGATATTTGCATAGAGATCCAAACTTGCATTGTGACGTCCTATAGAAGTAACAGTCTACGGTCTTCCTACCGGTTGTTCTTTTAGGGTTGTGGCAACAGACAAGAATGTGTATGCCACTAAATCTGAAGATAACTTCCACCATACTTCTAATTATTCTCCAGTCCAAACCGTTAAGTCCACAAGCAATCTTTGGTATCGCCAGGTTCATGATGTCCTTGGATAAAAGGGCATCCCTCAATTTATTTAAGGCATTCCATACATCACGCTAGTTTGGCTTCTGATGGGAGAGCTGCTTCGTTACCAGATAGAAGATATTTCTGTTGCCTATCTGCTCATTATTCACAATTTCAAGCACCTCTCCAACTTTGGGATTCTGCCTCCGTAGCTCATCAACCCGTCCAAACTTGTTTTTTAAGACAACCGCTATTCCTCTGGACATCCTAAGGTCTTCGGCAACACAGTGAGCCAAGGAGTAATTGGCCGAAACCGTGAACAGATCTTGTTGTTCTTCTCGAGTGACACCAAAGCGAGCTTTTTTACCGCTCGAATATAAATACATGAAGTCTTCAAAAAGCAACTCGTCTTCCGAAGGATTAACTCGTCTTACTCTAGCATGGTTTATTTGGTCATCATTGTTTCCAGCGTAAGGAGCCAATCGGTTAAAATGGATCACTTTCGGCTTTCCTCTTGGTTGTTTTCTGATCCTGTAGATGATGTCATTTATGCGATCCATGACTTCGTATGGTCCTTCCCAAGAAGTCTGCAGCTTCGGTGAATAACCACGACGGCGCTGAGGGTTGTATAACCAAACTAGGTCTCCAGGTTGAAATCCTCCATTTTCCGCCTTGATGTCGTATGCCTCTTTCATTCTATCACTGGCACTCTGGGGATGTTTAAACGAACTCGGCTGTGAATGTCGCTCATTTTCCTACGTAAATTGTTGACGTAATCTTCTCCAGCAATATCATCCCCTGGTAGGCAACCAAACCTCAGGTCACAAGGTAGACGAAGTTCACGCCCCATAACAATGCTAGCGGGTGTCTGGCCGGTTGTATCGTGGATAGAAGAACGGTACGCCAACAGGAACAGATGAAGGAAGCGGTCCCAGTCTCTTTGGTGATCAGAGACAGGTACCGGTTTATCGTTCTATTCATTCGTTCTACCATTCCATCAGACTGCGGATGTAATGCAGTCGTCCTCGTCTTCCGAATGTTAAGAATTTTACAGACATTCTGGAACAGTATAGATTCAAAGTTCCTGCCTTGGTCTGAATGTATCTCCATTGGCACACCAAAACGACAAATCCACTCCTTAATAAGGGCATCGGCCACTGTGGCAGCTTCCTGGTTTGGCAAGGCGTACGCTTCCGCCCACTTGCTGAAGTAGTCCATTACAACGATGATGTATTTATTTCCAGATTCTGTTTCCGGAAATGGACCCGCCACATCGATTGCAATTCTCCCAAATGGGCTGCCCACATTGTACTGTCGCATTGGGGCTTTTGGGCGCTTCTGGGGTCCATTGCTTGCCGCGCAAACGGCGCACTTCTTGCACCATTCCTTCACATCTCGTTGGCTGTTGACCCAATAAAACCGTTTCCTAAGTCTTCCGAGCGTCCTGGTCACCCCAAGATGTCCTCCAGTAGTTCCATCATGGATTTCCTGCAGCACTTCTGGTATCCTATTTCTGGGGATTATTATCTGCTTCCGGTCTTCCCCCCCTTCTGGCAACTCCAGAACGCGCTTATTATCTGCTTCCGGTCTTCCCCCCCTTCTGGCAACTCCAGAACGCGCTTTAGAAGCCCGTCACTTAAGATGATGGAATTCCATTGGGCCCAGTACGATTTCACATTCGGCGAATATTGGGCGACTTCCTGCCACGTTGGTTTACGGTCGTTCTTCTTCCAATCGATGATAAGCTTTAAATCCGGGTCCCTTTCCTGATCTTGTTGAACCTCAGCGGATTGCCAATGATCATCTACGATTGTAGTCCTGCGAATATACACATCCTTTTCTTCGGCCCTATTTATTTTTCTAAATGAAGTCGGCGCCACCTGACTTCCTTTGCAACGACTTTGTATATGTCCCAGCTTTCCACATCTCCAACACCGGATTTCCTTCTTCTCTGGTAAATTCTCCTTAAGAACTCGCCTAATTGCTTCAATTATCCTGGGTTCTTCCTTCTTTTCTTCTTCGACTCTCCTAATTCTAGGCTGGCTCCTGCAGCTCTCCTTTGCCGCCTCGAATTCCAAAGCTCGAGCCAATGCATCAACCAGTTGGCTCGGACGAGCCAACGTCAGAGCCTGTCTTGTTTCGTTGTCCCGAAGTCCATCCAAAAAAGCTTGAACCGCTAATCGTTCAATAACGGTCGTTGGAGTAGCTGGATATGCTAGCCGAACCAAGCGTGCAATATCAGCCTCAAATTCTTGCAAAGTCTCGTTTGATTTCTGGCAGCGGTTTTTAAGTTGGGAATGGTAGACATGTTCCAAATGTGTCTGGCCATATCGCAGTTCCAGATGTTTTACCAACGCTTCGTAATCTTCTTGTTCGTTGGGAGAGAGTGTCTGCAAGATGTCCGTTGCATCTCCGCGTAAAGCCAGAGTCAATGCTGTAGCTTTTTCTTCTGGTAGCCAGCCATTTGCTTTTGCTGCTGCCTCAAACTGACGGATGTAATTTGTCCAAGAAGTTTTTCCATCGAACTGAGGTGGTTTCATCCGTACTCGGCTCCCCTCCAGCATTGTTCCTGGTTCCGCCAGCATCATGGGTAAATTTACAGCTTTCAGTTTACTATTTATTTCTCTAATTTTGACCTCCAATATCTCGTTCAATTTTTCTTCTCTCGTATCCAATTCCATCCTTACGTTATTTAATTCCATCCTTACATCGTCAACTTTCTGTCCTACTTTTTCTTCTAATTCTATCCTTACGTTTTCTTTTAATTCATTTACATTATCTAGAATCTTCTGTTCCAAATACTCCTTTAAATTTTTAGAATTTTCCAGAATTTTCTGTTGCAGTTCGCTAGAATTTTCCACCATTTTCTGTTGCAAATCGCCCTTTAAATCGTTGACATTTTCCAGAATCTTTTGTTGTAAATCGACTTTTAAATCGCTAGAGTTTTCCATCATTTTCTGTTGCAAATCGACTTTTAGGTCTTTTAAATTTTGCAACATTAAATGCATGTCACAAGGGCCTTCAAATAAATACTCATCTGTATTTTCACCTTCCTGCTCCAAAGCTTCTCGAAGCCGCTGCTGCAACACATTCTTTTTCCCAGTTGTATCACATTCCCTTTCTTCTAGCTCCCGCTTAAGGTCCGCCACTTTTAAGTCCATTAACGAAACCATTTTCGCGAAGTTTCACACTAATCCCACTTCTGACACCAATTGTAACGTTTTTAACTGTTCGTAGTGTGAATTAAAACACGCACTGGTTAATTAACGAACTAAACTATTTATTTAATAACTTAACTACACTTAAAACACTATAAAACTAACTAAACACTTAACTACTAATTATTTATATCACTACTAGTTTATTTATTTGCACTTATATTTATTTATTTCTTCGCGCGTACCAAAGCTCAACTAACTGCTCTGTGCTGCTCCGTTTCTTATATATTACAGCGCTTACGTCTTCTGGAACATTTCAGCGAGCTCCACACTCTCGATTATTCGAGCTCTGAGTCACCAGCGATGACTCACCGGCGATGACTCATCGGCGATGAGTCATCACTTCGATATCCAGAGCGGTACTCGCTACAATAATAATAATCGTCTTTATTTAAACTAAAATTATTACAATAATATTATAATATATTGTAAGTAGGTGGCACATACGGCGAAGTTTAGCCTAAGGCTACTCTTACACTTAACCGTGTGTGATAAGTAAATTGATGTTAAATAGTGTTTACAAAAAATATATATATAAACAAAATAAAAAAATAATTACATATTTCTTGTTGTCAACGTGAAAAATAAACAATGGGGAAAAAACAAAAAGTATTATACCTGATTCTATATAAAAAAACAATAAAAAAGTTAAATAAGTAAAGAAGCTCTTGCATGTTTCCTAAATTTATATAGAGACATAGACTTTAAATCATTGTCAATTGAGTTATAATAAATTACTGCATTAAAAGAGAAAGAGCGGGTAAATAAAGCTATAGAGTGTTTAGGTAAGGTAAGTAGGTTTAGATGTCGTGTTTGGCGATTGTGAATATTATGTCTAAAATTAATTTTTCTCTGAAATATATATTGTATATATTGTATATATTGTATATATTGTATATATTGTATATATTGTATATATTGTATATATTGTATATATTGTATATATTGTATATATTGTATATATTGTATATATTGTATATATTGTATATATTGTATATATTGTATATATTGTATATTATAGGAGTAGACTTTGACAAATACATAACCTAAATGCCAAATTAACAAAATACTGCTTTTTGTTTGGCTCATCAGGGGAGGCTAGAAGTTCAAAACCGTTGCTATTCAAAATCCATTTATTAAGTTTTCCCGACCGCGAACGACGGGACACGACGCTGGCTGCAATAAGCAATTATACGGTTTACAGTGGAGGCTAGCGGCAGACCACAGACTGCCGGAGTGTACGACGGAATGATCGTGAGCGGTGCATTTTAAAATTTCGAGCAGACAGACAGGGAATAGTATTAGACTTAGAAATCGGTCATATCTACCAATTATACTATTTTTAAATTCGCCGTGTTAGTAAAAACAATAATAGATGGCGCATGAAAAAATAAGAAAAATCGAAGCGTTGATTAAACTGACTGTATTTATAAGTATTCCTGTCTTAATTTATTTGTTATCGTTGTACCTAAAGCTAGCGACATTTGTACCAATATCATTAGAACACTATGATGAGGCTTACTTTAATGGGCAATTAACAGTCTTTATTACAAGTGTGTGTCGTTTTGTTAATTTACAATTTGTGGTATTTTGTTTAAACATGCAAAATTGGAAGAAATTAAAACATTGTAGATTGGCTTGCCGGTAGTTGTTTTATTCGCCTTATTACTTGTAATTAAGTCGTATAATTGTCCTTTCTTGTGGCGTCATACAAATTTTATAGTAGTTTTTTTAATGGCGAAGCGCCTTACATTACACCTTTGACCTAAGGCCTTTTGAATGTGAAACATAGTATCATGAGGATGACACTATGGGGG